ATTGTAAAATTTCTACCAACTTCTTTGCAAGTTCGATTGTGTCCCCCAACGTTAAAGTTCTGCGTCCACCCCTGGCGGTCTCTTATTGGGAGGCCCCTCAATAGGGAGCCGCCAGTTGTTAATTAGATAATCCATTATGTAGGAAATTAGGTACATATAGCTTGATCCAAAATTTAAAAAATTAGACAGGATGGTTCGTTCGACTGGTGAATTGGATGTACCGTTACCTAATTGCATTTGGTACAGCAGATAGTGAGTGAGCTGTTTGATCACAAGAGATTTAGTACACCTAATTGCATATTGTATTCTGCATTATTGTTACTGTTTTTAAATATCAAAATTTTAAAATGCATTAACATTATTATTGACAAGAATAATGTTGATTAAGAATTAAAAAAAAAGTGTTCTCTTGACCTAAAGACAAAGGTCTAACCTACAAAGCACCCCCTCAATATGATCTTTGATAAAGACAAAGACAACTCATCAATGAAAATAGACCATGAATAGGATCACCATGTCTCATTTTTAGTTTATTTTTTTCAAGTCGACCTTTATAAATAAAGCCATTGTCGAGAATTATGAAAATTCTTGCTAAATTACTAAAAGTTATTTTGTAATAATAATGATAATAACAACAACAACAACAATAACAACGACTATTAAGCTAGTGTATCTCCTATCCACAACATTATTGATATAACAATTGATGAATGTCAAAATTCGTTATATGCTTAATGTATATACATAATTATAATACTAAATTCTTGTTATAAGAATCTAATAAAAAAAGTCATTCCGACCTAAAGAAATTAAGAAAATCAATTTAAATACATGTAAAAAAAAATTGAATATAAAATCGGTTTGAAAACTCATAGAACCAACAAGTTCACCATGAAAGTAAGCCAGATCAATCATTTGACTATTGACCCTTTTATCTTTTCCAAGTTGACTTTTATGACACTGCGATGAATAATCGATGTGCAAGTGTTCAACCACGGGACACGAGCCAACTCATTTTGCAACCCTCCACGTGATCTAACCTTCTATAATTGCACATAATTGAATAGGGGTGTCCAAAAGTCCCGAATCGAATCGGACCGAACCGAATCGAGCGATTCTTCATAAATTAAATACTCGAACGATTATCCGAATTGAGAACCGATGAGTTTGGGTCGGGTCTAGACCAAGAACTGAA